GCAGCCTGGACCCTTCAGAGGTCTAATTCCTTGTTAAGCATATTCACTTTGTGCTCAGCTATTATTGTCAGTAGCTTGGCTATTGTTTATGTCAGGTTTTATTGCTGAAACAATAAAAAATGCTGAATGAGATATAATTTAAAAATACATATTTAAAAATGTACTTGTGAGCTCTTGAGTTAGAAGAATCTCAATGGCCAAAGCTAAGTCATAGCAGGAAGCCATAGCAGGGAGCTTGTGTGATAAATAGTGCATGGGTTATTTATTCTTGTTGGAATTTGTCAGACAGATGAACTTGAGTTCTAGTTTTTACAGCCACAAGGACATTGGAGAAAAGAGACAGCAGGCTAGGGGACCCCACTACCACCGCCCCTACATGTAGCCGGGGTCCTGGACAGCCGCATTCTTAGTGCAGGAGTAAACTGACCATACTACCCCTCTTCCCACTTAGACTGGGGGACTCCAGGGAAAATTTTTCTATCTTATTTTATTTTTTTGTTTGTTTGTTTTTGAGTTGTCACCCAGGCTGGAGTACAGTGGCATACTCACAGCCACTCCAGCGTCGACCTGCTGGGCTCCGGCGATCCTTCCGCCTCAGCCTTCCAAGTAGCTGGAAATACAGGCATGTGCTACCACATCCCGCTAATTTTTTATTTTATTGTAGAGATGAGGTCTCACCAAGTTGCCCGGGCTGATCTCGAACCCGCAGGCTCACAATCCACTCGCCTCAGCCTCCCAAAGTGCTGGGATTACAGGTTGAACCACTGAGCCCGGACAAAATTTTCTATTTCAAAACTTAGAGCCAATGAAAGGTAAAACAACAACAACAACAACAACAACAACAACAACAACAAGACAACTAGTTTTGAGAATCCATAACCATAAGTGGCTCTTACACAGATGTGCTGTGTGAGATGATCTAAAAACTCCAAGTAGAGAATATAGTTTAAGGGACCCCTGGTAGGTAGTGCTGCTAGGTATTGGCAAATGCAAACTCTTTGAAGGACCACATGTTCAACTCAGGCCTCAAAGTATTTCTCCAGTGAAGTTCCAGAAAATATCAATACAAAGTTAAAAAGAAAAAATCATAAAACCTGCAAGCAAACTAGTGATAGCTAGTAGAAAGCTAATAGAAAGCTAATAGAAAGAATAAATAGCAGAACCAGAAAGCAAAGACTTCAGAAATTAGAAATATAAGACTATGAAAGAATATGAAATAAGTATGTTGAATATACTTACATAAGTAAAAGAAGGGACTGGAAATAAGAATAAAGAGCAAGAGACTATAAAAATGCCAAGAAGATTTAAAGATATTTGAATAAAACCTTATAGTCTTAAGGTTTATATAAGGAATGAAAAAAGGCTGAAAATTAGTGAGATAAGCATCCAGCTTAAATAGGAAAAGAAAACAGACTAAACCCAAAGAGAGTAGAAGGAAGGAAATATTTAAAAATAAAAGTGGAAATTAATGAAATAGAAAATAGAAAATGTAGCCAGGCGTGGTAGTGCACACCTGTAATCCTAGCACTTTGGGAGGCAGAGGCAGGAGACTCAAACAAAGCCTAGGAGTTTGAGACCAGCCTGGGCAACATAGTGACACCTTGTCTCTACAAAAAAAACCCCAAAAAACTAACCAGGCTTGGTAGTACCTGACTGTAGTCCCAGCTACTAGAGAGGTAGAGGTGGGAGGGTCACTTTAGCCCAGGATGTCAAGACTGATTAAGCCAAGATCATGCTACTGTATTCCAGCCTGGACAACACAGTGATACCCTGTCTCAAAAAAGGAAAAAGAAAAAGAAAAATTGTGTGATAAACACTGCCAAAATTGGGTCTTGAGTAGATTATTTAACTTGACATCCCTCTGCTGAGATTCATCAAGAAAAAGAGAGGTTAAAGAAAAGGATATTAGGAGTGAAAAAGGAGACATAGTTATAGATCCTGTTGATATACATAAAAAGTGGATTTTATAAATATTTCCTTCAAATAAATGTGAAAATTTAATGTAATGAAAAATTCTTTGGGGGAAAATTCGTCAACACTGACTCAACTAATTAGAAACATGAATATTTCTGTTACCATTAAAAGTGTATGTAGTAAGTAACGTTCTTTAGAAAATGAAAATACCAGCTCTGAATGGTTTTGTTGGTGATTTCTAATGAACACTAATGGGAAAAAATTCCAATTTCACGGAAACCATTTTAGAATACATTCAAAGAAGGAACACTCTTTATTTCATTTGGAAGGCTAAATTGATACTAAAACCTGACAAGGACAGTAATAGAGAGGAAAATTATAAACCAGTCTTACTTATAAGCATAGATTAAAATCCTGACAAAAATATTAGCAAACTGAATCCAGTAACATATAAAAAATTTAATATAGCATGACTAAATAGGGTTATTCATGGTAATGTAAGAACAGATTAATGTTAAAAGTTCCATTAATGCAATTCATTACAATAACATATTAAAGCAGAAAAATGGTGAGATACAGAAGAAAATGTTTGATAGCATTAAACATTCATTTAAAATTAAAAAAAACCTTTCAGCACCACTGAAATAAAACCTTTCAGCACCACTGAAATAAAAGAGAACTTTGTAAAACCTAAAAAAGTGTATGTAAAAAGCTAATGCAAACATCAAATTTAATGATGCTACATTAAAATTTTTTCCTTTTAAGACCTGGAATAAGACAAAGGGGGCACCATTACCACCAGCCCTCTCTGTCTTTCTGTGTGGCTGTACCATGTGTCTGGTATGGGCTTCCACATAGAACAGTGGTCACAGGGTTGTTGGGCTTCTAATTCTAACATGGTGGCTGGTTTCCAGTGTGTGGGAGCAGAAGCTGCCAGTACTATAGGTTAGGGCTGAAGTAAGGATACTGATACTTTTGCTGCATTCAGTTGATAAAAACAAGTCACAGTCCAGTCTAGGTTCCCAACAGACTCTAATTGTGAGGAGCAACATTTGTGTACAAATAGGAAGAAATTTGCAGAACTTGTTTCTGAAGATCATCTACCACAGCTTACATAAGATTGGCAAAAATGTAAAAGACTGATGACATAAGATATTGGCAAAGATGAGGAGTGATTGACTCACTTAAAAGCTACTTGTGATCATGTAAGTTAATATAACTGCTTTGGAAAATATTTTGGTTTTATCTAGTGAAATAGAAGATGTGCATGCTATGTCAGCAATCTAACTCCTAGATAGGCATTCAAGAAAATTATTGTTATGTGGACCAGGTGATATGTACAAGAAATGTTCAGAATAGCACTATTTATCATAGAAAAAACCTAGGCATAAACCCAAAAGTCTATCAACAGCAGAACAGATGAATAAATTGTGGTGAAGACTTATGATGGAATATTCTACTCCATGTGCAAACAAATGAACTTCATGTACAGTATCATGATTTAATTTCCAAGATGTAAGATTGAGTAGAAAAAAACAAAGTACTTAAAAAAATACACAGCACAAATAAAGTTTAAAAATATGAGAAACAGGGCAACACACTCGGGTCCCCTTCCACTGTGGGAGTTTTTCTATCCTCCCAATAAATACTGCTTTCTTAAAAAAATAATATATATATAATTAGTTTATTATTTATGTATGTAAAATTATATGACAAGCCTAAAAGACAAGGAAGGACATGGTAAACACAAAATTTAGGGTGGTAATTATTTACAAATGAGCAATGAAGGAGATAGAAATCGAATGGGCCAGGTAATTCTTATGGTCTTTTTTTTTTTTTGAGTTGGAGTCTCATTGTGTCGCTCAGACTGGAGTGCAGTGGCACGCTCCCGGCCACCGCAACCTCGACCTGCTGGGCTCCGGCGATCCATCTGCTTCAGCCTTCCAAGTAGCTGGAACTACAGGCACAAGCTACTATGCCCGGCTAATTTTTTGATTTATTGTAGAGATGAGGTCTCACCAAGTTGCCCAGGCGGGTCTCGAACCCGTGGGTTCAGGCAATCCACTCACCTCAGCCTCCCAAGGCACGGGATTACAGGCTGAGTCACCGAACCCGGTTCTTATGGTCTTTTTTTGGTGAATTGAATTACGGATGTTTCTTTTATCATTTTTTAAATACTTTTTGTTTATTTTATGTTCTTTTGTATCTTTTCAATATTTAATGTAAACGAAGCCAAAATCCCCAGGGCTTACTTTTTTTTTTTTAAAGAAATTAGACAAGTTGATGGAAATGTTCTAATATTGGTGATTACTTTTGACTTCTTTTATAACAGGGCCCCTTTACAACAGGGCACTCAAACTAAGGCAAATAGTGGAAGCAAAATTGGTATCATATAGCCACGTTTTTAGAGAAATGAAAACGTTAACCATCAGACAAACTAACAAGTGTTACTGTCAAGCAACACCAAGTGCCCCAACTTGCCTGCCTTTTCTCCACCTCTTCCACCTGTTCGGCCTGTGCCACCTAAGACAGCGAGACCAGACCCTCTTCTTCCATCTCATCCTCAAATTCTTATGGCGAACACAGCAGGGATGAAGAACTTTAAGATGACTTATTTCATTTAATGTATAGTAAAGATACTTTTAATCCTTTAAAAAAAAAGAAGTCTCTTTTGTCAAATGATACCTTTAAGCAATCATTTGCACTATGGAGTTATGGCTTGGGTTAGTTACCTGTGTGAGCTCCCCGTATCACTTCAGGTGATAATAGACTTGGTGGTTTCATGAATGAGTAAGTGTGGCCAGGAAGCTTTCATTCCATTGTGAATTTTGGTCCTCAGCAGGATGGACATAGACTGCTGGCCTTATCGTTCCTATTTTCTGCACTCTCAGTTTCCTTCACAGATTTTTTTCCAGACCTCAAAGACTGATTTTGATTCCCAAAGCCATCTTTTAAAGAAAATTCATGACCTACCTGTTGGATTAATGGCCCCTGACTACTGAAAATAGAGAAAAGTCATTGGTTGTCAAATATAAAGGCAGGATCAGCAGTTTCTAATTTGTTGCAATTTCATTGTTGTCTCACAGATTGATCAACTGAAGCAGGAACTTTCAAAGAAGGAGTCAGAACTTCTTGCCTTACAAACAAAGCTTGAAACTCTTAGCAATCAAAATTCAGATTGCAAGCAACACATTGAAGTGCTTAAAGAGTCACTTACTGCCAAAGAACAGAGGGCTGCCATCCTACAGACTGAGGTAAGGCACTGTCTCAGGATTCTGGACAGCAGAGACGTTGGATTGATAGAAAATGTCCTACCTGAACAACTTTCCTCAGAAGACCCCTTATCCAAACCCTTGGGGCCAGATGTATTTTGGAATTCAGATTTTTGGGAATTTTGGAAAGGTGAGATTCACTGCATGTATCATAGATTGTATAATGCCATAAGTGAGGTTGCAGCAACGTTCTATAAGCAAATGTGAATATTTTTGCAGCAAAAAAAGTCTCATACTAAAGTAGGTTAAATAAAGACTAAGTATACTCTTGTCAATTTGTGTCAGATTGTACCACAAAAAGTGTTTGTTTCACACTTAGAATTTCTCTTTTTAATTTTTCAGAGCTTTTTGGATTTGGGAATTACAGATAAAGGATTGGATCTGGCATGATTTCATGTTATCAAAAATCATAAAATAACTAGAATGTCATGTATCTTACTTGTATATCTTCTGTATGGGTTCCCCTACTGGCACCCATAGTTCCAAAGATTTCTTACCCACTAAGGAGTATCCTCAATTTTCAAGATTCTTTTACCCATTGAAGAAAGTTGGTATTGTATGAGTTTCTTAGAGGAAATATTGGTTTGTTATTTCTTATTCATGCTTAGAAGAACAATAAATACATGTTACTATTCTGTTATCTTGCTTCTCTTCACTGGATTAAATCTTTGTGTCTGCTAAGAAATGTAAAACATAAACTATTATGTACATGAAACAGTTATCAAAGGCAGTGGGCAGTCACAAAGATTTTCCCTGATTTTTGTATTGAAGCAATGTGTTGTGTGCATTACTTTGGGAGAAGCCAATCTAGTAGACATGCAATGCTCTGTCCTGGGCTGTTTAACCGTCTTTGCATGTATACATTTTAGGGTCTGTGGGAAACTTTGGGTTTACCTTTGGAGTTAATGGGGCCATCGAGTAGGTCTGTGTCTTCAGTCAAGATGCAGGACAGTAACCAGAGGAGGAAGAAAACAGGTTCTAGATGGGTAGGTCTTGGCATGGACATGATTCAGACCCTATGCATTTGACAGTTGACTGTTAGGCAGTTATCAGACTGCTTCAAACCAAAATGATCACCTTAACCTCAATGTTGTAGATATTTCATACTTAAGAAATATTATTTTCAGTTGTGTATAGTTCCATTGTGAATGTAAAGATGGGAATATTTTCTTTCTTAAGGCAATAATATAATCTGTGCAAAAAATTGGAAGGTGTCTTGTATCTCCTTTGTGGAGGCAACAGTGAGTAGTGTCTAGAATTGTGGTGTCTAATTCTGCAATCACTAGCCACATTTGGCTATTTAAGTTAACATTAATTAAAATTCAGTGAAATCTGAAATGTAATTCCTTAGTCACATCAGCCACATTTCAAGTATTTAAAGGTAACATGTGGCTTGTGGCTACTGTATTAGACAGCACAACTATAGAACGTTTCTACCATCTAGCCCTTGTCTCAAATAGGGAGTAACAAGAACTGTGGTTTATGCACCAAATCTGGCCCTCTGCCTGTTCTTGTAAATAAAGTTTTGTTGTAACACAGACACATCCATTCACCATTGGCTGCTTTTGTGCTACAACAACAGAGTTGAGCTGTTGTAACAGAGACTATATGGCCTACAAAGCTGAAAATATTTACAGTCTGGCCTTTTACAAAATGTTTGCCAGTCATTGGCATTGGCATTGTGATTTTGTGAGAAGAGGATTGAGTGGGCATTGGAATGCTCAGCCAGTCTCTGGCTAGTCTTCTCTTTGGCTGTCTGACCCCAGATGGAGCCAGATAGTTTGCAGGCCCCTGTTCCAGTCCACACATTTTTCTTCACTGTGCTTATTCTCAAAGCAGCTGATAGTACCCACATTTTGTCAGTCATACCAGGATACTGATAAAGTTAGTATAATTGTGTTGTTGTATGTTGGGTAAGAGGGAATTTGAAAAGTAATGCAGTCTGCTTGCCCAAACTGGGTGTCTGCTTTCTTGATGGTTTGTCTCCAGAAGAAAAAATATAAGAAAAATCATCTCAGAAAGGTTTTTATTTCTCATTACCTTACACTGGTGGGTGCTGTGTTCCCTGGCTTCTTTACCTTTTATTCCCTTCCCTGTATTTATCTCTCTCAGATTAATGTAGTCCAAGTTAGATCTATACATAGTTCATGATAAAGATAGTGATGACATTATGTGGATAGCTTCTGTCCGACGTTCAATAATTAAAATGACCTAATAAAGAGATGGTGCTTTGAAGTAGAAAAAAATTAGTCTCCATGTGTAGGGAAAGTGAAATGATTTTCTCAGTCTTCTGCTTTGAAGTTGGGAGTGTGAGAGTAATGATCTTATCAGTTGGAAACAGCTGAGGAATTTTCTTTTGCCTTTTTTTCCTTCTTTTAAGATCTCTGTGTATATGGAAACAGAGGGGAAAGTTACCGAATGACGTACATCTCTTAAGGGAAGCAATTCAGGTTGAAATTAGCTCTAATGCTTGGATCATAGGCAAAGGATTTTTGGCAGCAGAAAATTTTAAAATGATTTCCCCACTCCTTGGAATAGCGGAGGTGAATATGAGTCTCTGTACCTAATGTGTGGTGAGTTAGTGGATGAGTGTTCAATCGATGTTAGGTTTCATTATGCCTTACAGTGAAAATCTGAGTTTATATTCCCATGAAAGATATGGTACTCATCTTCAGAGGGGGTTACTTTGGATAGCTCCTTGCAGTTTGATTCCTGAGTCATTCCTGAAAGCTCTTGCCAAAACAAAAGAGGGTTCTCTCTAAAGTGAGAAGTCTTGCTTTCTCTGGAATATTTGTGTGATCTACTGGCTTTGGCTACTCTTTTAGAATAGTATAAATGACAGATGTCACTGGCTTAACAGTTCATCTCTGTAAGGAAGGTTTTTGCTACCAGGGAATTTGCATTTGGAAGGTGGTAGGATGAAGGGTGGGGTGAGGGGTGGGAGGTAAGTTGTCTGGGTTTGTGGCTATGTGGCTTGGCTCCTTGGTTGGTTTGTTTTAACTTGTACAAAAGCCCAGATGCTCTTTGACATGTGTGCAGTAAATCAATAGAATAATAATTACTCATACAGAGAGATACACCACATAGCTCTTACACATAACATTTTACTTTTTAAAATAGCTTCAAAGAACTCCAAGGCCAAGTTTTTTAATTTGCTACTTCCCTTGATGTTTCATTCGTACCAGCTTACCCCATCCACCAACACATGAATTCCATAGCAGTAGGGAAAGTAATGAATTGGCTTTCTTTAGCATCTTGAGTTTTCTGGATTTCAATGAATAATTAAGAACATATCCAGAAATTAGTACAGACAAAGGTCTAAAATTTATTCTGTGGTCTGAAGTAAAATATTGAACAAAACACAGAAGTGAGAGATAGGTGGCTATACCTCAGCCTCCCTATTCAATAACTGTGTGACGTGGACAAGACTTGAATTTTTCTGAGCTTCCATGTCACAATCTATGAATGGCAGTTGCTATGCCAGCCTGACACATCTATGTGAAAAGTGCTTTGATTATATTAAAGAGTTACAGCTATAAATTGTGTTATCATTGCTGTTTTTATTATTATTAAAATTGTTATGTTAATCAGGGGTGTTTGGGTAGGTTGAACCTAAATTCTCTATCTCACTTCTCATCTTATTCATTTGGTGTTTCAACCTGGGTCTTTTTTGCATTTTTTGTGTGTGTATTTATAGATTTTCATATTTCAGTTGAGTTATTTTTTTAATGTCCTAGAATGATACAGAGAAATAAAGTTCTATGAACATGACCATCTATTTTTTTCTATCCCCAAATTAAGGGATTTATTTCTGTTTTTTGGCAAGTATACTTGGCCTCAACTCAGCATGATTTCCAAATTGCCAGGCAACTTTTTGCATGTTTTTTTTAAAAGATGTATTGTATGATAATGGCACATAATGCTAACTTTTATACTAATTTCTGTTCCAAATAAGTCAGGGAAGGTTTCTATTTGTCTAAGAGTAAACACCTGATAACTTGTTCATCAATGAAGAATGTAGGGGCTTTGTGTTCACGCAGGCAAGGGGCAATACATGCAGCTTAGGATTGTGGCAGCTGCAAAGCAAGGGCTCATAACTTGTAAAAAATATAATCAATAGAGATGAGAATCTCATGCACTTTATAATCCTCTCTCCAGAAAAATTCTCATTAGTATATACATACTTGTATTCATATGCAGTAATGTATATAATTTCAGGCAGTTTACAGAAGCAATTCTAAGAACTACACATTAATGATCTTTGCCCTATGGACTTCATGACTTTTTTTATTTAACACATTTTTTTGGAATGCCTACTGTATGTAAGATATAGTTCCCGTCCACATCGAGAAAACATTCAGTTGGGCATATGGTTCCATGATAACTGATTTATAGTACCATAACCTCCCAGTGATTTTATTAGCACTGGTTACTAATAATTCCACACAGCATTGTAATTGGACTTCATCTTTCTTTTGTTATTTAAAAGATTATAAGTAAAGGAAGGAAAGAAGACAAAGAAATAAATGTTTAGCTCCTTTGAAGACTGAAGTATGTGAACTGTTCAAAATGTCTATTTGCATCTCACAATTGAAGGCTAATATTGCTAAGGTGATTGCCCTAAGACTTTATTTATTGATTACAGCTAATTCTCTTTGAGATCACACTCAAGCAATTTGGTTCCCCTCTTTGAGAAAGAGGATGGTATTTTTATAGTTACAGACACTTTGCTAACTTCATTATTTTAGAAATTACAGCATGTATTTGGCAATGCTTCAGAGGCTATACTTCACATAGACCCTTCAATGTGTCTGAATCAGCGAGCTGTCATTTTATGATATTTTATTGAGCCTCTATAATGTACAGGTACTGAACAAAGTAGGGACCCATAATTTCAGGAGCTGATGGTCTTGGCCTTTTAAATGTAATTTTATTGGCCAAATGTCTACTGAGTTTCATATAGTTGCTATCTTGAGTTTCAG